GTCACAAGTCACAGAAATCTCAAACTCTTGGGCTTAAATGATTCTCTTGCCTCAGCTTCCCAAATATCTAGGACTACAGGCACCTGCCACAATGCCCTATTTTTGTTGTTGTTGTTGTTGTTGTCATTGTTTTTAGCAGGCCCAGGCTGAGTTTGAACCTGCCAGCCCCGGCATATGTGGCCGGCACCCTAATCACAGCACCAAGCCATCTCAAGAGTTCTTAATCTGGGAATCTGTGACCCTCATAAAAGTAAAAACCAGGGAAATGTGCATATTTAAGGGAAAAGGTGTTCCAATTTTCAAAGTTGTCTATAACCTCAAAATATTTAAAAATCAGGGCAGGTATAGTGGCTCATTCCTATAACTCTAGGTGGGAGGATCACTTAAAGCCAGGAGCTTGAGACTAGTAACAAGACAATCTTATAATTCACATATGATTATTCCTTTTTTATTCATGAAGAAACTAAGGTCCAAAGAGGTTTTGTAACTTACTGTCACATATGAATCTGTAAATTGTAGAGTTTCGCTTAAAATCTAGGCTTCACTGGTCCCACTATAGGCTTCCACTATACCTGTACTGCCTTCCTCTCAGATAATTTAGGTCTGGGCTAACTTTTACTGATAAACAGCAGCTTACACTTGCCCAGATAATTTATATATTATTTTTCCCAGATATTTTAATAAACACAGACATACTTAACACAAAACATGTATTCTGCCAGGCACGGAGGCTCATGCTTATAATCCTAGTACTCTGGAAGGCCAAAGCGAGTAGATCACTTGAGCTCATGCGTTCCAGACCAGACTCAGCAAGAATGAGACCTCATCTCTACTAGAAATGAAAAACTGAGGCAAGAGGATCTCTTGAGCTCAAGAGTTTGAGGTTGTTATGAGCTATGATGCCACAGCACTCTACCAAGGGTAATAAAGAAAGACTCTGTCTCAAAAACAAAACAAAATGTAATTCTTAGAAACCAATATTCATTAAACCAAATATATATATA